CAGCTATAAAAATGCTGTATATCAAATATGACTTCAGAGAAATTTGACTTCAGTTTGGAGCCTTGGAATTGGACCTCTGTCTATTTAAGAAGCTCCCATTCTGTCCGACACTCCGCCTTCATTACGTCGTCATGGCAACGCTTCTCCATGCTGTTCTTAGATGCCATTTACAATTATCCTTACAAACTTTCTGTATGACAGATTTTGATTCAATTGATTTACCTTACTTTCTAAATATTTGTGGAAATCATTTGAAGAATTGAAACTTAGTTGTCATCGGTTCATCTGAAGTATTTTGTGTATTTAAGTTTATGTTGAAAACCTCATCTGACCCTGGTTGTTATTTGTAGAGTGGCACTTTTAAGTTTAGATATGACACACTGAAAGAAACAAAAGTTCCCAAGAGAAGAGCTTTAACATTCGACGTAGGTGCCGACGTAAGGTCCAGGTCTCCAGGTTGTTATTCTGAAGGAGGAACAGTTGCTACTCGTTGTTTATTGTGCTGTTTATGATATTATTATGTCTTTGTGAAACACATTTATGGAAGGTGAAGTTAATCAAACATATATAACCCTTGAAGGACATGTAGAGTTGGACAAATTCAGGTATCTTTATTTTGCAGTCATGCTAGCAGCGTATGTTTGCATCGTCGTCTGTAACCTGACCATTGTGTATCTCATATGGACGCACAGAAACCTCCATGAGCCCATGTACGTTTTCATCGCCGCTTTGCTTCTGAACTCTGTTGTTTTCAGCCATGGGCGTAGGTTTGGGTAGGGACGGTAGGGACATGTCCCGACCAATATTCACGGGATATGAAAAAGTCCCGACCAATTTTTGCCATATTGGCTCAAAGAACGTGGATCTACGATCTTTGATTAGCAGCAACAGGCGGTGCGCGGAACGGAAGCTTCTTAGATTGACATTTATTATGAGCCTCCGAGACCGTGTCGGAACGGTGCTGTGGGGGGAGGGGGAGTCAGTTGAATCGTCGGACGTTCTTTGATTAGCTGCAAAAGGCGGTGGCTAGCTGGGCACACGCGTCTCCTTCTGAGTCGCCATGTCGCCACCAAAAAAGAAAAGGACAGACATTAGAAGTTTTTTCGCTACGCCGGCTGTGAGTACAGTGAGTGGACCCATAAGTTAGATATCTATCACATTTGTTGTAAAGTCCGGTGTTTAGTAAGGTCAGCACTGAATGTGAGGTAGAATAGGTCTGTTAATTATGAGCAGCAGAGCAAGGGGCAGAGCAGAACGATGGAGAGGGGGCTGGAGCTTCAGGGCTCCAGGTGAGGGGGTAGTTCTCAGATATGAAATATACTGTGAAATTATCTCAGTAAATATGGCATTTGAAGTGTTAGTCTTAAATTAAGTTAAGCTAGTGTGAATACAAACCAGTGTTCTTGAACTGATCTGCTGAGTATGACTGTATCTGGTTGTATACACAAGATGTATGATATGGTTATGGTTGGGGGGAGGGGTTATTAAGCCAATGTGGGTCCCCCCCCTTCTCAAAAATGTTCGGTGCTCTTGGGCATTTCACTGTGCTGCCGGGGGGCGTGGGGGGGTGTCAAGGTCCCCACCAAAACTTAGACCGAACCTACACCCTTGTTTTCAGCACTAACATTTATCCAAAACTGCTGTCAGATTTTCTATCTGAGAAACAGACTGTATCGTATTCAGCTTGTTATTTGCAGTTTTTTCTCTTTTATTCTCTAAGTGGCTCAGAGTTTTTACTGCTGGCAGCAATGGCCTACGATCGCCACGTGTCTATATGTAAACCTTTACAATATGCAACAGTAATGGGGAGAAACACGGTCAGTATTTACCTGAGTTTGGCCTGGCTGGTGCCTGCCAGTGTTCTTGCTGTACAGGTGGTATTGAGCTCCAATATGAAACTCTGTAAATCAAAATTTCAAGGAATTTTCTGCAATAACTCAATTTATAGCGCCCACTGTTTAAATTCAGAGGTGCATGTTGTATTTGGTGCCGTGGCACTG